GACGGCGCTCCGCGGCTCGCCTGCCACCTCTGGAGATGCCTTTGCCGATTTCCTGAAAACCTCTTCCCTTCCCTGGAGCTTCATCTCCGTTCCCTCTGAGCTGCTCCCCAAGGCCTCCTGCAGGCTCTCCTTCTCCTGCAGCGCCTTCTCATGCACGGCCTTTATGTGCCTCAGCTCCTCCTCCTTCTCCTGCAGGCGAGCGTGCAGGCCCTGCAGCTGGCCGGCTGCCCGCCTGTAGGACAGCTCCAGGCGCTGGTAGTCGGCCTCCCTCCCCCGCAGCCTCTCCTGAAGCGCAGCCACGTCCCCATCAGACAGGGTGACACGGTCCATCAGCTCTTGGAAGCGCTGCCGGACCAGGTCCCGCTCATCCCGGAGGCCCTGGACGTGTGCGGCCAGTTCCTGCAGGCTGGCCTCCTTCTCCTCCAGCTGCTCCTCCAGCCGCTGCACTGCCTCACTGCCCTCAGCCTTGGCGCTCAGCTTCTCCTGGTGGAGGACCTCCAGCTGCTGCTCGTGGCCCTGGAGCCGGTCCTCGAGGGCGCTGGCCCTGTCCTCTGCCTCCTTCAGGCTTCGCAGTAGCCCCTGCTTCTCCTCGGCACAGCTCCCCAGCAGCAGCTCATAGTTCCGCTGCAGCTGCTCCTCCATCAGCCTCTGGGCCTGCTCGCTGGTGCTGAGCTGCTGGCTGAGGTCGGCGATGCGCTCCTGCAGCCTCTGCACCTCCTTCTGCCGGTCCCGCTGCAGCGCCCGCTGCCTCTCCAGGTCCCGCAGCTCCTGTGTCCTCTCCAACAGCAGGGCCTCCGCACGCTGCAGCTTCTGCTCACTGGCCTGCAGCTGGGCGCCGAGCGCAGCCTCGCTGTGCTGCCGCTCCTCCAGCTGCTCACGCACCCTGTCCTTCTCCAGCTTCAGCTCGCCCTTGAGCTTGGCCAGCGCCTGCTCCTTGACAGTGAGCTCGGCCGCAGTGTTGCTAAGCCTCGCCTGGAGGCTCTGGATCTCGGCCTCGTGGTGCCGGACCGCGTCCTTGGCCTCCCCATAGCTGTGCTTCAGGGCCTGGATCTGCTGCGTGATCAGCTCCTGGCGCTGGCACTGGGCCTCCAGCTCGCTGTGGAGATCCTGGTTGACTCTGTGGAGCCTCTGCCAGGCGCTGGACGGGGAGGTGGCCACTTCAGTCTTAAAAAACCGATTAAACACTGGTTAGTAACACTCCGGCCTCCCAGTTCTGAGTGTCACACCTCTGGCCGGGGTCAACCACAGAAAAGCTCCTTGGTGGGTCTGTCTTTTATCCTTTGCACAATTTTTGTTTTCATTAAAAAAATACAACAAATCATCTTAATTTTTTCGGCAAGTAGCTGCTTCCAGGTAAACAGAAAACATGGACATTAACATCTAAACAGCTCTAACCAAACAGCTTCTAGGAGAAATAAACCAAACAAAACCGAATAATGGAGCACACTGAGAAACAAGACGAAGACTGAGGGGCAGGAGGCCGGCAGGAAGGGCGGACGGGGAGCGGCAGTGCATTACATCGCGGCGTTTGTTTTGCAAAACAAAAGGCACACAGCTCAAGACCACGAACCCCGCAAGCGCAGGACCGGCGTGGGATGCCGCTTCCTTCTCGGACAGGGAGAAGGAAGGGAGGCCACCGCTGGTGCCTGTCAGCCAGGTGACCCCCGAACACTTTCCTGGGGGGAAGTGGGCCCGTCCTCTACAGTAACAGGAAGAACTAATCTCTACCTGCAAGAAGACAAAATGAGGGGGAAAATGGAAACCATGGAGTAAAATATGAGAATTAACAAAACAAACCTTTGTGAAACTCAAAATAAGAGAGTGAAGCGTGCAGAAAATAAAACAACACAACTGAAACAGAATTCCCCACACTAGAAGGCGTGCAGGACAGACAGAACCAGCTGACGCAGGAGAGAACAGGAACGTGAACGGAGTGGGAACAGCTTGGCCTAAGGACTGGCCTGCACGCGGCTCCCTCCACGTGTGCTGGCGGGGAGCCACAGATGTGACACTCAGTTCCGTAAGTCAGAGACGCCTCGCGCTCCGTGCCCACACGGCCAGCTCCTCCTCCCCCCCGTCAGCCCAGCACCCGTCCCCAGCCGCCGGTCCTCCTGACCATTAACCCCAAAGGCCCTTGCTCATTCAGACTCTGGATTACAATCATTTTCAAAGCACAAAAAGAGACTGAAAGGAACCCATGTTGGACCCAGCAGAAAGGTGTTAAGGTGTCAGCCGACTGGCGGGCTTCGGGCAGGCTCATGCACCCGTCCAGCTTAGGCCCGGGGAGGTGCTCAGGTTAGCAATGTGCAAAATCCATGGCCAGGGTCTTCACCACCTGGTGTGAAATCAACACATGTAGGATGGCAGCCCAACCAGAGATTTAAAAGATGCTTCTCAAACCTGGAGGGTCTGCACAAATGACTCAGAGAGTCTTGGAGGGAGGTGCAGGGAAGGGGGGTGCCCCGTCACCAGTTCTCAGTGCCTGAGAGTCTGGCCTGGGCACAGCAACAGCTGCAGCTAAAGGGCTAGGGCGGAGGTCCGGGGGACATGGGGCTCCTGGGGCAGGGCCAAGGCTGGGGGAGAGAGAGAGTCCGGGGGAATGTGCAACGAACACGGCACTGGAGGCAGGAAGGCGGACTCTGCCCAGAGGGTCGACTCGGACCAAGGAGGCCAGGGCACTGCAGTCTGAAGCGTTGGCCCAGCAACTCAGCCCAGAGACTCCAGGTCCCTGAAAGCCAGGAAGGCCCTCGGGGACGGGCTCTCGGTCTACATGGGCAAGGAGACTAGTGCTCAGGGGAGGGGTACCGGCTCCTGCAGGTCAGCGTGGGGCCCTGACTCGAGTGTTGCGTCTGCAGCCTGGGCTGAGGCCCAAGCCCTCGGTTCCGTCGCCCAGCTTGCTCCCCCACAGCCACCTCTCCCAGCAGCATATCCGCCGAAGGGGCGGGAGTGTGGCGTGTGCACCCCAGGACTAGACGGGGCCTGGACCGCTGCCCCGTCCAGGCAGGCTGCCCCCGGGAGTCTGCCTGGTGGCCAGCACCCTGGCAGAGACCTCCAGTGAGGATGCAGGGCTCAGGCTCTTGGTTCAGTCCAGGCTGCAGCCCTCATCCCTCCTCCAGGCCACAGGGCAAATCGGCTCCAGGCTGGGTGGCCACGTTTCCCCTCACACTTTAGCCTGGGCAGAGAATCAGAGGTGGGCCACTAGCCTAGCCGTAGCAGCCCCAGATGGCCCTGCAGGTGGGGTACAGATGTGGGCAGGGACAGGGAACCAGCTCTAGAGCTCTAGCTCTGCCACTAACTCAGTCATAAGGAGACTATTACTCCATTCTTCAGTCTGTAAAATGGGACTAATACTGCTATTGTCAAAAAAAATTAGAACTTACTCGCAAATATGTGATTACTATACACTGAGCCCTTTGACAGCCAGAGGGAGAGACAACCAAAATTACTCCACCAAAAAGCAAAGGAGAAACCCTTAGATACAGAAGTTGCAGGTATATTCCCCAAAACGTCACACCAGGGGAGACCCCCATAGGCCCGCTGTCCGGAGCGCCCGCTCCTGGGGCAGGGAAGCCCGAGGCCTGGCGCTTGGTTTTGCACATTCCTAGCCCGCCTGGGTGACACACAAGCAGCCCGAGGGCGCCTGGAGGGCCGCGGCAGCCCCTCAGCCCTACCTGCAGCACGTAGCCCTCCCGGGCGCTCTGCTCCCGGCCCAGAGCCACCCTCAGCTGGTCCTGCAGCAGCCGGTTCTGCTCCAGGAGGTCCGAGGCCTCCTTCTGGCTCTGCTCCAACTGTTGGCAAACACACACACACATTTTAAAGCAAATTGACCACCGGAGAAGCCCAGCACAGCCCAGGCCCTGGGGGCGTCCCAACTCCAGCTGGGCGGGGCTCCAGCTTCCCTCATAGCCTTCTGGGCACAGAGCTTCAGAGCAGAGGCGTGCTTGTCACCAAGACTCCAGCTGAGGCTGTACACCACCCTGGCAGCCTTGTCACCCTGGGCACCCACATAATCCCCGCACTGGCCCGAGGATCCAACCCACAGAACCCACCAGGGAATGAGGGCTTCGGGCCCGTGTCAGAGAAGACCTCCCCCTGGGTCCTTCGAGGTCCTTGGCACAGTCACCAGGCCCGTGTGCTCCCAGCAGGCCTCACTCCAGGCTCTGCCTCGGCTCTTACGGGAAGAACCCTGACTGACCAGCTGTACTGGACTTCAGAGCAAGTTCCATTTGTGTGGGGCTCCTTGGGAGGTGCCCAGTGAGCCCCTGCCCACTCCTCTCACTTCCACCGATTCTGACCCACGGATGCTGGCCGCGGGGAGTGGGAGCAGGGCGTGCCGCAGGGACTGGGCTTGGACACCCCACGTCTAAAGCCAAAGCAGCGCCCAGCGTGTGGCCTGCTGACTGGCAGGCCTGGTTTTGCTGTTTAAGCAACGTAACTTTGAACGCTGTTTTACTGCATCCTGCCTTTACCATCATATTGACACGCGTGGAAATGGAAAAAACCCAAGTGTTGATGCTTGTGACAAACGTTGGCCTCACGAATTTAACAAAACATAACAAAGAGAAAAGTGAGGGAGGCTGGGGCGGCCTGTCTGTGGGGCCCTCAGCCACTGTGTGGAGCGCACGTTGGATTTGCGTCACCAAGCGCCCCTAAGAGACGGTGTGACGCTGTACCCCCTTGGCCACGGCACCTCCGTTCAGACATACAAATCCACAAAGTTCTGCAAATTGATTTCTGGGTACATTTTCACTAAGGAAGAACATTACAAATGCAGGAACGGGCTCCCCCAACTCTGTGTCTGGAGGAGGCCCCACCGCCCCCACCTCCTGCTGGCTGCCCCGCACGCTCCGGTCTCAGCGAGGGGCACAGGGTGCCACATGCAGATGGAGACCTAAGTCTGTGCCTGCCCCTCTTCTGCCCAGGTCCTCTAACTCATGCCTGAGGCAGGGCAGGCGAGTCCCTGCGGGAGCACTG